AGCGGATGGTGAAGAGGGTTAGTGGAGCGGATGGTGAAGAGGGTTAGTGGAGCGGATGGTGAATAGGGTTAGTGGAGCGGATGGTGAAGAGGGTTAGTGGAGCGGATGGTGAAGAGGGTTAGTGGAGCGGATGGTGAATAGGGTTAGTGGAGCGGATGGTGAAGAGGGTTAGTGGAGCGGATGGTGAAGAGGGTTAGTGGAGCGGATGGTGAAGAGGGTTAGTGGAGCGGGTGGTGAAGAGGGTTAGTGGAGCGGATGGTGAATAGGGTTAGTGGAGCGGGTGGTGAAGAGGGTTAGTGGAGGGCGTGGTGGAGCAGATGGTGAAGAGGGTTAGATGATCCTGATGAAACAAATTCCAATCAGTCATCAGATGTAGAGCAAATTCTGTGGCTGAATAATGCGCATTCTGTGTATGCACATTGTGTTCAACATACAACATTCTACCGCATATAATTCTATTAGAATCACTCTTTCTCTACATTGTGTTCAACACACAAAATTCTATCCACAACATAATTCTATTAGAATCACTCTTTCTCTACATTGTGTTCAACACACAACATTCTATCCACAACATAGTTCTATCAGTATCACTCTTTCTCTACACTGTGTTCAAGATTCAACATTTTTATCCACACAAAATTCAATAAGAATTACTCTTTCTCTACATTGTGTTCAATATTCAACATTCTATGCTACATTGTCATGCCCTACTGTGTGGTTAACATACAACATTCTATCTAAATCCAATGTTTCTTAACCATACACGATTATACGTAAATCCAACATTTCCTACACTGTGTTTAACATGCAATATCCTATCAATTTCCACGATTTATTACATTGTGTTCACCAGACAACAGTTTATGTAAATCCATCATGTTTTACACTTTGTTAATTATATATTCATATCCATAATTTATTACAGTACATTGACCAGACAACAATCTAGGTAAATCCATTATATTTTACACTGTGTTCAACATATATCCATATCTATGATTTCCTAAACCGTGTTCACCTGACAACACTTTATGCAAATCCATAAAAGTTTATGGATTTGTTACAGTGTATTAACCATAAAACATTCTATGTAAATCTATCCTATGTCCAGAGTGATAATTTATTACCGTGTGTTAACCAGATAACGCGCTTTGTAAATCTATTATATATCTATATTTATTACGGTGTGTTAACCAGATAACATGCTATGTAAATCTATCATATGTCCATATCCGTAATTCATTACCAAGTTCACCAAGTGGGTTTCGGTGCCCCACTGTAAAGAAAACAAGAACAGACCTACTGCATGTTGTAAGAGTCGACTAACTGGGGTCTTCCTTTACATTCGGAGAGCATCTGCCCGAGAGGCAAGGACCAAGAGAATGCATACAAATGAGTCAAATATGTAAAAGGAATGTGCGCACAACACTCAAGTTTTAGAACAGGACTAGACTCCAGAAGTGGACGAATAACCAGTATTTACAGCCGGTGAACGCGAAGAAAAAGAAGATTACTGTGTTCACCAAACAACATTCTATCCACATACTTACCTGATAATCAGAGTCCAAAGTCAGGTGACTAGTAGCAGCAGCCATTGGTACCCGGGAGACAGAAACAAGGCAGCAATGAGAGGGAGAAGTGGATGATGGATAACCGCCAGCCGCCTGTCGACGTGGATTGTTACCGTCGTTATTGTCAGAACTGGCAGCGCCCTTTTTCCTGAAGGCGGCAAGATCTTCTGATGACGCGCTACGGCTTGTGGAGAAAGACTTCGGCTTGTCCAAACCTGCTCCGTGATCAAACAGAGCAAGATCGTCCACAGATTTGAAAGATGATGGGGTTTTGCTAGTCAATGCTTTGTTTTTTCCAGGCGGCAGTCTCTTAGAAGCTGAGGACTCAAGCGAGGATGATTGTATAGCAAATTTCACGTCTTTCTGAACAGCGGCGACACGTACTGGCGCGTCAAAGTCCGAGCTATGTGCGGAGGGGTTTGGTCTGTATTTGAAGGCTTGGTTGTCCTGTCCCAGATGTTGTAGCGTAAAGATCTCTGAAACTGGCGACAAAGGGGAAGGGTCTTCTTGTGGTACTCTTTGGTATGAAGATTTTTGAGGCTGGGAGAATCTCCGTGTTTTCTCCAAATGTTTTAACTCCGGATATTGCTTCGGAAAGGGTTTTGTAAGGGTTAAGGAAAGCTTCCTTGATTTATCAAATGACAGGCTTGCCCCATCAGTTTTTAACAAGTTTAGAAGAGGCAGAGTTGATTGTTTAGAACCTGTGGGCGATACTACAGTTACATTAACCTCTACGTGTTTGTTATTGTACAAGCATTGACTTCTAAGCTCCTGGAAGGGTGTTTCGACGCTTTCGTCAGCTATCAGCAGCGAATCACAAGTTGAATCGGGAGATTCTCCTTCCGTATTATCTGTATTTTTTGCAGCGTTGGCAGCGGAAATACTACTTGTATCCTCACCGAGAGTAGATTCAGTCAATACAGCTTTCGTAGGTTGTGGCCCAGCGCTGGGATTGTCGCCGGTGTAAGTGACCTTCCTACGTTCGGAGATGCTCTGCGGCCCTCTGTTTTCACCCTGTGGAATGGTCATTATAGTAGTTCTCACATCATGAACCTGTCAGATCTAGCATGAACACTGGACATCATTTTGCTAAGTTCTGATAAGGTTAGCTGGTCAACAACCTCACTGGACTGGTCTTGGTGTTTGTCGTATCTGGCGTGGTCATCGTGTGCTTAGAAATGGTCATTAGGCGATGAATACACTCAAATAGAGTCACAAATGAAGTGTCATCATTAACAATTGAGCCCAGCGCTGCTTCTGCAGTTTTTCAGCTTGCGTAATCGATCTATGTGCACGCACAACTCGTCTTGGAGTTACACCGTAATCCGGAACTTGAGCAACAGCTTAGAATGTCCACCACAAGTTACTGCTGGTGAACGCGAAGAAGAAGACCTTTTCACTTTCCATTTGTTTATGTGCATCCAGAAGCATGCGATGGCTGTGCCGATTTATGGAACGTCTATGAATCGTACAAGTTTTTGCTTACCACATTAAGAGAAGCTCGTTAGACGGGCAGAGTACAACTGTTTTAGTTTTTCCTTAATCATCCTTTAAGGTGATCTTGTGTGGACGAAAAGGAAACTGTATGACTTCAGGTTAGCGTTAGTATGGTCACATCTCGCTGGGACACGGCGCATTAAAAACCATAGTACTTGTTTCTGGCTTGTAAGTGAGTGGTCATCAATGTCTTTTTTGTTTTGTTTTTTGTTTTGTCTAGTAGATTTCGACAGTTAGAGTCAATGTTTTGCTTCAACGTTGATGGTAAAACTAAGCACCGATAGGCTCCTGTACAGTTTCTGATCCGAGATGAAGTAGTGTCTCAGTATCACGCTGTGGAAAAGTAATGTTTGCATTTAAATACAATTTTAAGACAATTCAACGGATGTTATTGATTATGTCTGTTAAGTATTTACATAAAAATAAACTCAGTTAATACGTTTGTGTGTGTAGAAACATAACACTATGTATATATGTATATATATATATATATATATATATATATATATATATATATATATATATATATATATATATATATATATATATAATTTCTTTAAAAATGTGAAACATAGATAATAGATTTTATATGAACTGCTTACATATAAAGTGAGGTAAAGAGTCAATAAACGTGTCAGTGCAAACATAGAAAGACCAAGTAAAATAAAGAATGTCGGCATCAAGAGAAGACTTTAAAAAAAAAGACCAATCTATACTACACAATAGAAAGAACACACAGAAGATCCTAACATCCATAACAAGACTTCAATGAAATGAAGGGAGGAAGACCAGAAGGAAAAAATTAAAAAGAAGAAGAAGTAGAAGAAGAGGAAGAAAAGAGAAGGGAGGAGGATGAAAAAAAGAGATGGAGGAGAGGAGACTTGGAGGAGGAAGAGGAGGAGAAGGAGGAGAAAAAGAAGAAGAAGAATAATAATAAGAAGAAGAAGAAGAAGAAGAAGAAGAAGAAGAAGAAGAAGAAGAAGAAGAAGAAGAAGAAGAAGAAGAAGAAGAAGAAGAAGAAGAAGAAGAAGAAGAAGAAGAAGAAGAAGAAGAAGAAGAAGAAGAAGAAGAAGAAGAAGAAGAAGGAGTAGGAGGAGGAGGAGGAGAAAAAGAAGAAAAAGAAGAAGAAGAAGAAGAAGAAGAAGAAGAAGAAGAAGAAGAAGAAGAAGAAGAAGAAGAAGAAGAAGAAGAAGAAGAAGAAGAAGAAGAAGAAGAAGAAGAAGAAGAAGAAGAAGAAGAAGAAGAAGAAGAAGAAGAAGAAGAAGAAGAAGAAGAAGAAAAAGAAGAAGAAAATGAAGAAGAAGAAGAAGAAGGAGGAGAAAAAGAAGAAGAGGAAGAAGAAGAAAAAGAAGAAGAAGAAGCAGAAGAAGAAGAAGAAGAAGAAGAAGAAGAAGAAGAAGAAGAAGAAGAAGAAGAAGAAGAAGAAGAAGAAGAAGAAGAAGAAGAAGAAGAAGAAGAAGAAGAAGAAGAAGAAGAAGAAGAAGAAGAAGAAGAAAATGAAGAAGAAAAGAAGAAGAAGAAGAAGAAGAAGAAGAAGAAGAAGAAGAAGAAGAAGAAGAAGAAGAAGAAGAAGAAGAAGAAGAAGAAGAAGAAGAAGAAGAAGAAGAAGAAGAAGAAGAAGAAGAAGAAGAAGAAGAAGAAGAAGAAGATGAAGAAGAAGAAGAAGAAGAAGAAGGAGAAGACTGGAAACAGTGGTAATTAGCTATTTTATCTCATAAATCTGTGTCCCTAATCAGTGTGTTCTGCTATGGTATGCCTGCCTTACCTAATGTTACTCGATCTCCTTCCTTGCCTTCTTTGCAACAAAAAATGGGCCCTTTTCGTGCTTTTGGTTTGCCCAGTGCTTTCTCTTTTCTGTCCACTAACTTTTCATTCTCTCTACTCGCCAGTACTGTCATGCTAACTAACCAGGTTAAAGAATGGAACAAATGAGTTGCTTTAGACTCCATTACCAACGCCAATCCCACGAGGCTCGGGCTGATGTAATTTAGTGCAACCTTTACACACTGGGGACCCGCTGGATGCATGCTTCAAATACAATGTCCAGACAAACATGTCTTTGACGAGAAGTGAAAGAAAACCCAGCGCATTAAATATTCCCAAACTTGATTATGTCCTTACAAAGTTTTCCATTACACTGGAGTAAATACAGAAAAACTAAAAAAAAAAAAAAAAACAGTTTAACAGTCAGTTTCTTCTATCCGTCATCATCTAAAACATATACATAGGTATCAGCCAGGGCTGTCGAAGTTGGTACTTTCGTACAAATTTGGTACTACTTGATACTTGCCGTGCAAAACTGTACTTTTGGTACCCCGCCCGATGAGTTTACAAATTGAGAAATGTTGCACCAATATTGTAACTGATATATATAAAAAGATAAGGTCGGAAGATGTGAGCCAGGGTAATTGCACACGGTTATAAACCATAAGTGCTCTGCCACCCGTACGGACAGCTGATAAGAAGCTGTGCTTATGTGTCGCAGTCCGCACGCAACTTAGTAGCTACAGCGGCGTTCCTCCATTTGCCCAAAAGTGTTAACTCTGGTACCCATTTCCTAGAGGTTTATGAACCCCGAGAACCGTCCGGTTTCGAACAACAGCCATGGGCTGCAGCGAGTTGCAGCTGGATTTGAAAGCGAGTCTCATATCGACTGCGCTAACACGGCCCCAAATGTTGATAGTGTAGGCCGGATCCAGTAAGAATTACTGAAGAAATACCGACATCAATTATGCCATTGGTCATGTAATTTTTCCAGTCTTGTTAAAGAATATTATAAGCAAATATATAAAGAATGGAGGTAATTTACACTAAAGACTCACAATCTAATGCTGAAGAAAAAAAAAAAAAAAAAAAAAAAAAACCTCAACACTTGAACAGTTTTGATTTACCATTTACAAAGCAAAATATGGAGATAAAAATCACTTTCCAATAGTGTCACGAAACGATCTCAGTGGTTCCAGAAGTTAGTACTTGTAATAAGTTCTTCTGGTTCTAAAGAGAGAGGATCATATTTACTCTGCCCTTTACCCTAATATTACTTTAAACCAAACTGATTTAAATGTTTCCAGTCCTTCTCTGAGACAAAGCCACCACGCTTTGTTTAAAATTACAAAACACTACGTAATACAGCCCGCTGGTTCAGACTAGGGATGTTATGTTTGATTCTCATGCCAGTGTCAGAATGTTATCTCCTGACCACACTGTAGAGGCCAGCGAACGGGGAACTTTGCATCACACTTGAGCTGGACCATAGGTCGTAAAGGTTACCTAACACAGACGGCTTTGAAAGACTAGATCAGGGGAATTGAGTGGACTCTAGACATTGTGGCGACGAGAGGTTTAAGTAACACGTCAGTGTAATTCTCAAGAGAACAGGTGTTTGGCAATTAGGAATGTTTGATCTGGGTCAAGTAGTAAACACATTGGCTTCACGGACCGTTTTCACACCGGCTAGTTAGATTCGTTGTAAACTAGATTGGGTCACTTAAGAATGTTCGCTCTAGGGATGTCAGTCCAGAATTGACTGACAGGCCACTTGTCAGCTAATTTGATCTGATAGGTACTTCAGAGGCGTGGCTTAAGTCATCGTCTTGAGGGTTGGGTAGAAGAAAGTAAAGGGAGGAGTTTAATTTGGACAATAGATTGATACTTATACTTCGAGCTTGGGAATTCCCGTCAATAATCGCAGCCTGCCGGCAAACAAACACAGATCGACGTGAAGGTAATTTTACGGTCGCATTCTGGTTTGGCGATTGATGGAAAGTTCCCAGGTGAATAATAATTCTAATCTTGTATACATAGGTTAGGGAGTTAAGCTTAGTCTATGCTACCTTTTCCTAATTTGTCTGCACATTCTGCTTGAAATAGTTCTTTGTGAATATTCAGTATCTCAGTTAGGGAACTGCTAAACTATTCCTATTTCTTGTATGTTTGTGTCACATGTTTTTCAGTGTATGTTTTCATGTGTATAAAATAAGATGTGAACAATGACATTTGCTATAATGAAATGTAATTTTATTGTTTCCACCATCAACCAAAATACGAGTTTGGACTGTGGGAAATGATGCCCAAATATGTGCAGGGATGCTGCTACGTTTTGTGTGCCCACCATGTGCTCACTTAATGTGTTCACCTAAACAGAGGATTTATAACCCCAGGGGAAGAATGATGGGTGTACAGTATTTACTGTCACTGAAAGATAATATTCAGGACAGCATGCACATATAAAATAGTTGGAGTTTCAGCACATAACCTGCCCCACGTGTTGATGTAAAAACAATGATTGGAAGTCTGAGTGAAGACGGACAACAGACTTAGAAATTCAACTATCATGACATAGCTTGTGAGGGAAGGCAGGATATGTGACGCCCATGTAAGACAAAAGACCTTCAGACTAGACTGGAGAGGATGTGGAATATGAGGAGGAGTGATGGGATATATTTTATTATTCTATGTTATATTAATTGATACATGTATTCTTAGTGTAAGTCAAGATACAACACGTATGTGTTTTGTTTCCATGATTACAG